GCAATGCTTCTTAGTTAAAATCACTATCACTTTTGTTCTCTTGTCTCTGGAGTATCGAACCTATGCTATTATTAAAGAACAGAAGTTTCAAGAATCTTAGATTCAAACCCATGATTGAACAAATAGCTTTTATTGAGTTGCGCATAATTTCGCGACGGCTTTCATCCTAATAAAGTGAGCATTGCACTTGTAATTAAAGTACAGAAACATTAAATTTGTTCAGTACGCTTGATTCAATTATGTATTGAAAAGTTAAAACCTATAACACATAACAAATAGAACAGAGGCACTTCAAAACCAGAATTAAACTACGAAATGAAGCTTGTTAGTGAGGAATTTTTATGTAGCTACATCATGATTTTTCTTGTCAAATGGCATTGGCAGTCACCTAATCAGGAGCGAAGTCAGCGTTCTACACATCACATCTGGTGATAAAGAACAAACAGCGTCAATTCGTCTGCTAAGACTAATTATGAACCTATGCTGCTACATGCTTTATAGCATGATTTGATTTTAAAAAAAGGGTGGTACTATTTTATTTCAGAAAAAAAATAGGATCTAATTTCCCTTTTTTCGGAATATCCCAGTTCTTACATCCATTGCAATTTTTTTAAAACTATGTTTTATCTCTCTCGCATCGTTCACGGGTGAAGTCTCCCTTGCGCCGCCTCGCACAAATCATAAACCTGCTTGTTATATATAACCAACGAACACGGGAGCATACCAATCGGCCTTGAGATGTTGCTACTCGTCGCCCTATTTCTGATCTCTGCCCTAGCAGTCTATTTATGGATTTTCTACGAGAATGTAAAACGCTATCCAAAGGGTCCAACACCAGTTCCTATTTTTGGCAATTTGCTTTCTGTAAGTTGATATCGAATAGAAGACTGTACTTCTGATGAAATTCCTATTTTTTTAGGCTAATGTACGCAAAATGCATGAACAACTCTCGGACTATGCCAAAGTTTACGGTGATGTATATACTGTTTGGCTTCCACGACCATTTGTAGTTATTACTGACTATGAGCTGATTAAAGAAGCATTTTCTAAGAAAGGTATGGTATAAAAGAGCGTATAATAGGATTTGGTATTATTTTCGCTTAATTCCTCTTAGGTGATGATTTTTCTGGAAGACAAGGCGGTTTCCCTGGCAATCTTTTTCAAATGGTTGAAAACGGAGGTGTAG